GGTGAGGGGGAGCGGCCTGGCCCTGCCCCCAGCGCTTTCCTCTGCCGAGCGCGGCAGGGCGCGGATAGCCCGGCTTTGCAAAACATAGAGACTTTGGGTTAAACTTGTCCATGTGTTTCACTCCAAAAAGTGGGGGGTTTAGGCCGTCATTTGCACTCTGGGAAAGCGGCCTGAAGTTTTTATTCTGCAGTTTAGCAGCTTTTCGCTTCGAAACATGTTCATGTCGGTATAAACCCGTGCTTTGACATCGGGTGGAAGCTTTCCCTGACTCTTTCTTTTTCCTGCCAGTGAATTGCCTCATTGACCGTTTTTTCCAGGATTTCAGCTCTCGGGCAGAGCTTGCTTTGCCCCCGCTGTCTGCCAGACGGTAGATTTTGAAGCCCAGAGACAAGCTGGAAATCGCTCCTGACTTCAGGTGAACTGTACTCTGGGGCAGGAAGAAAAATCCCCCCGCATCCTGAAGATGCCTAAAACCCTCCCCTATACCTGGGGACACCTCGTCAGAGCAAAACAGCAAAGAAAAGTCCTTTTCTCCAAAAACCTTGCCCAGTTTTCAGTGCTCTGGTGCAGTGTTACTGGCTCCCCATCTCTGAACACGGAGGGAAGCGGAGCTGCTGCTCCTGCAGGGCCACTGCCACATGGCATTTTGGGCCGTAAAAGAAAGTGGTTCAGATAACCGTTTGTTAGTACACCTGTATCTCTCTAAATGTGCTTCCCATTACCGGTAATCTGGTTACTTTAATTGCCAAAGCCATTAGGGCTCTACAGAGTTTGAACCAAACAAAAAAAATGATGCAATTACGAGCTACTGAATTGAGTTAAAATCCTGTAATAAATTACAGTAAAGGATACTTTCTCCAGAGTCTCAGAGGCACATTTAATTCCCTGCAGCTCTGTGCAATATGTGCTTCAGGGAAGAAACTCAATTAAAACCAAAAACTTACTTCATTTTAATTGTTGGTCTAATGAAACTGCTGTCACCTCTAGCATCCCTGTGTGCATCTGTGGTGCCTTGGCTGAAGACTGCTTCTTGCCCTCTGCTAATGTTTATGTCCCCCATATATATTTATTATAGGATATCTTTTAAATGCTGGCACACATGTACATCAGCTAATGGTGACAAACATGGAAATGGGTAAAATAACATTTTTCTTCGAAAAATCTACCTTCCATGGGGCAGGCTGAATATGAAGCTGTGTCCATCACTTCTGCTCTGTTCTCCCATTTTTACCAAGGCGGTTTGGGGTTTGTAAAGAGCACCGGTGTTGGTACAGTGGATGGCCTTGGCATGGTCAGGGTATTCCCTCTGTCTTTGTTTGGTGGCGAGACAAAGGAAATGAGCTGGAGGGTGATCACTCACCAGCAATGATACTCTAAAACCTCTCCAATAAACCACTTTATCAAAGAAACCTTTGGCAGGTGAGTGAAGGATTGTGCCATGAAACTGTCCCCAAAGCGTGGAGCCTAGCACATCTTTGCTGTGGTTGATCTCTGGTTGCATGTTCAACAATGGCCATATGCTCCTTATTCTGGTACCACTTGTGGGGTTTCACTGCTGCCTGCAAAGACGTGTTTGTCTCCATAGAGCCGCCAGTGCCTTCTGGCCCCAGCTGTGTCCTTGCTGGTAGCTGTTTCTGCTCCTGCAGGGGATGAGGATCATGCAACATTCACATAGCATGTGGCTTATTCAGATTTCCTGGAAAAAAATGCAGATTTCTACACCAGGGTCTCAGCCCTGGGAACTTCTCAGTGCAGAGAACAACCAGGTCCAATCCTGCCTGGGGGAGCTGAGGGTTGGCAGAGTGAACATATGTTCAGCTCTGTGTCCTCCGACATCAGGAGGACATGGACCTGCTCAAGTGCGTCCAGAGAAGGCCACAAAGATGCTGGGGGGGCTGGAGCACCCCCCTGTGAGGACAGGCTGAGAGAGTTGAGGGGTTCAGCTGGAGAAGAGAAGGCTCTGGGGAGACCTTAGAGCGGCCTCCCAGGGCTGAAAGGGGCTGAAGGAAAGGGGGGAGGGACTCTATCAGGGAGTGTGGGGATAGGATGAGAGGTAACAGTTTTAAACAGAAAGTGGGGAGATTCAGGTTAGAGATAAGGAAGAAATTCTTCCCTGTGAGGGTGGTGAGACACTGGCACAGGCTGCCCAGAGCAGCTGTGGCTGCCCCCTCCTTGGAGAGGTTCAAGGCCAGGTTGGACGGGGCTTTGGGCAGGGGGAGGCAGCCTGGCGGTGCCCAGCGTCGTCCCCTTGCCCGGAGCGGCGCTGGGACCTGTCGCATTCCCACCCATGTGTCAGAGCTGGCCCCCGTGGGTGTCTGCACGGGGCTCCGCGCCAGCCTGCTGTGAGTGCGGGCAAGGCCGGGGCAGCCGGGAGGCGCGTTTCGCCCAGCTTCCCCTGCCCCGCGCCCAGCCCGGCCTCTGCGTGATCTGAAGGTCTCAGAAGCCTCTTAGAGCGGACTAACTGATTCACTTCTCGATATTCTTGTGTAAGCCTCACCTCTGGTTGCCTCCACCTCTCCTGACTGACAGGGTGCTCTCGCGTTTCCTTCTCTGAACGAGTCACGCTGAGATATAACATATTTAGCAAATCGGGGTGGTCGTAGCAGGGGCAGAGAGACCACATCCTTCGGCCTGCAGAGGAAATGATTTGCACGTTTAGTTTAAGAAACTGTCTGCTGAAACGGATGTGTTTAAAATGCTGCATGCGGAGGAACACAGCCACGGGTGAAATGTATCTTTTGCATGTGTTTACTAGCCTGTGCTTAAATTTCTGTTGGCTTATTTTGAGAGCTTGGAGTACTTCATGTGAGGCCAAGCTGTATTTTGCTGCTGAGCACGCTGATGGCAAAACTGGAACAATCCTGATAGAGATTTTTCTAGCAGAGACCTTTGTGACATTGCTGAGCTAATTGTGCTAGCAGAAATAGGCACTAGCTGAAGAATGATCCTTATGCCAAGCACTGAAGGAGGAGCAGGTCTTGGTGTAATCTGTAATGGGGACAGCACAACAAGCTGGCAAGTTTTGGCAGACGGTCTCGCTGGTTTGGTGATGACAGATCGGAGCCCTTCTCATGGCTGGTGCTGCGGTTTTG